TGTCCTCTCTCTTGCTCCCCTTTTATCTCCTGCTTTCCTTTTTCTTGTCTTGCCTCTCATTCCTGGCCTTCCTTCTCTTTTCGTTCTCAATCCTTTTGTATTTTTTCACTTCTTTTCTCATACTTCTTGTTCTTGTATTTAGTGTGTTCCCTTCACTTCTATCGTTCTTGTCTTATGTTCTGCTGCTGCCTTACCTCTACTTTCCTCATCGTTTCTTAATTTCGTTATCATTGATAGTTGCTTTCTATTTTACACTAATTGAACTATTCTCTGTCTTGTTTCTTATGTTTTTTGCATTCCCTTTTCCCTAGCTTATTGTCTTGTTTCTTAAACCTTTTCATGGTCCTTGCTTCTCTGTTCCCTATTTATGCTTGTCGCGCTCTCTTGTCCTCTCTCTTGCTCCCCTTTTATCTCCTGCTTTCCTTTTTCTTGTCTTGCCTTTCTATTCTTAGCTTATAATCCCGATTCCGTACGGTCCCTTCTGTTTCTCCTGCCAACTTCACAGTTGCTTCTGGTGGCATTGTCTTTTGGTCATTATTGCCTACCGCCTTTTTTTGTTTTTTCCTTCTTTTTTCTGCCTTTTCTTATAGTTGTCTTTTCCTTTGATTTATCTGTTCCTTTGTGCCTTTGCTTTCATTTCATTTTTTCTAGTCATTCACTACTTTCACCTCTTTCTCGTTCTTCTCTTTCTCTTCCCTTCTCTTGTTTTCACTACACTTTTACGTTCCACTGTCTCCTGCCATTCGTTCCTTTGTATTACTTTTATTCTTCTCTCCCTTTTGCGATTTATCCATTCCTTTGTCCCTTACTATCTTTATTTTCTTTTCTTGCTGACTTTGAGCTCCTTTCACTTACCGTTGTTTATCTCTTCCTTTCTTTTCCCCTCTTACTTCTCTTCTCTTTTATGATCTTTCTCGTGCTTTTATTTCTTGCTGGCCGTATTCTTCTTCACTGCTTTCCTGACGTTTGCCGACTCCTTCTGTCTTGCTTCTGTTCCTGTTATCTTCAATTTCGTTCTTCTTGCTCATGTTCTTTCCTCCCTCATTCCTGTTGTTTTCTTCGCTCTTTCCTATCGGCTCTCATTCCTTCTGTTTCTCTTCGTTTTTCCCTTTTCTCTTTTTTATTCTTCATTGTTTGCTTGCTTTTTTTCGTTCTTCTTTCTTTCTTTATTACTGTCGCTTTTCTTTTTTTTTTTCCTTTTTCTCCTCTATATTCTTCTTTCTTAATTTTTTTGTTTTTTTTTCTTCTATCTTCTTTCTTATTCTTGTTGACCATTTTTTTTGCTCTCGCTTCCTTATTTCTTTTTTTTTTTTTTTTTCTCTTTTTGTTATTTTCTCTTTTATTTTTTTTTTTTTTTTTTTTTTTTCTATTTTTCTTTTTATGTTTCTGTTT